ACATGCACACACACACACACACACACACACACACACACACACACACACACACATACACTCTAGAGCTTGCCAACCAACCAATATAATTGATTGAAATTTGATTAATGTCATGAAAGTAACCAACTAATCAAAAGTAATATTACCATTGTGATTTCTCAAATGGCAATTTACTGATTTAATTCCTTCAAATTCATTATGAATGTATGATAAATATTCCATAAACAAGAGGGAATCCTCAATAGTTGCAGCACTCGAAATTCCTGTAGACAATATTAGGGTAAATTAACCTGAGACCTTTTTTCCATTCTATTAGCTATATTTTTGTGCACCAGCAATATCAAGCATGGGCACTCTTATACCTGATTTGATTTTATTACTCATCAGGATCTCTACCAGCCTACCCTGAAATTACAATTCTTTTAGGGAGGATTAGAGTAAATTAATCTGAGACCTTAGGTGTGGTCAAATACATCAATCGAAAAGGTTTTACCTCCCGAGTTCAAAACTAATTAGATCTCAAATTGATCAAGAGATGACAGAGCTATGAGCTAAAAGTTTGTACTTGAAAAAAATTCAGAGCCATTCTGTGAGCCACTTTGCCATGACTAAAAAGAACACTTATATATAGATGTATTACAATATGTTTTTGTGTCATTGATTAGTCATGGTTTATGTTGTAATTGAAAACAATCCAAAGTAGATACTTTTATGTAATTCTAGCTATTAATGGAAAAGTGAAATTATCAGTTATGTCACCAATTTGTAGATGGTTAGGAGCTTGGTCTATCTGAATTTACTTAAATGTTTACATACATACATTATGTATCTAAAGTTTTTTTTGTCTTCTTCATAGCCCAACAATTTGCTGAAACTGTGGGTTAAGGAATTTCTGTTGGTAAGTAAACACTAACAAAAAAAGTATTCCTTTTGTTTTTACTCTTACCTAAAGAAGTGAGACACCTTTAAAAACTTTAATCTGTATTAAATTACTTTTTTATGTTTACTAATGTGAAAGTAATTGATAATCCGTAATCATTGTATAGACCAGTTTATATAAAACTTTAATAAACCAACTTATAAATGAAAAAAAATTGTATAATATAAATCTTCTGAAAAAAACTTCAACTTCTCTTGGGTAACTGGAAAGAAATCATAGACCAAGATGTTTTGCTTCAGTGGAACTTCCTCAGTTAGGAAAATAATTCATTAGAAAAAAAAAGTTATATTTCATTCTGATGATGTTTACTGTGAATTACTATTTTGAGACAAGGTAATTTTGGGAAGTTAAATTCAGCAGAGAAAAAAAGCAACTTAAAGCTTTGTCGAACAAAAATACCAGACATAAAAAATGTAATAAACTGAAATTTCGAAATGATACTTACCTCTCTGCACACAGTAGCTATTCCTCATGCATCTGCCTTTGAGATTTTGCCCATGTCACTAGCCATGAGCTATTGCCCACCTAAGATGCATTATAATGTGAACTGTGCTAGTGCATGATGTAATCATCATGCATCAATAGCCCTCCACCAATAGGTGCATGACATATTTTCCAGGTGCAGTGGGCTTATACTCAAAATTTACTTCATTTCATCTTTGACATTGTCTTTAACAAACCTGTTTCTTTAAATTTAAACTTAATCAATTTCATGAAATTTATGCTGCCTTTTCGCAGTGTTAACTTTTTTTTTTAGTTCGTATTATCTTCAATTTAATGCAACATTGCCTCTAAATAACTATAAAAAATAATATAAATTAATCTGCAGAATCTCTACATTAACCATGAATTCTCAAGTGATGGTCACTTCTACCTCCTCACGAGGCTTTGGTGATGTTGCTAATGGTGTCCTTACTGTTTGTGGCCACTGGAGGCTTGTTAACTGTAGAAAAAGTTACTGCCATAGTTCATTGTGCCATGGGTTCTTTGATGTCTTTCTTGTCTCACCTGCAAATTTCTTTGTGGTTTTGATTATTCAGATTTGTTTTTTTTTACTCTCCCTTTCTCCTATGTCTTGATTCTTCCTGTTCCTTACTACATGACTCATGCTGAGGCTTATTTGGGTTTTCTTTCTTCTTCAGACACACATGTGCATGTTGATACATTCCAGGATCAGCTTTGTTCCCACTCTCAAATGCTTCATCCTCCTCAACTACAGGATTCCTATATCAGAGCTTGTGGCTGTTTCCCTTTTCTGTTGTTGGATCCCCAATCCCTGGAGTCCCTTCTACTTGGTTGAAGGGCTGATCCCTGCTTAGAGTAACACTCTCTTGTGTTCAATTTTCCTGTCTTTGCCCTTTTCTTACCCATCCCTTTTATTGCCTATCCTCTTTTCAATTTACTGTTTAAAGTCCTGCACCATTTTTCTGGGGATCTATGTTTTGTCCTTTTCAATACCTTGGCCAGGGTTTCATCTTCTGCTTTGTCCCTATTTATTTAGTTTTCCTATTGTTGAGGCCCTCTGGGATGGGATGCTATTCTCTCTGCCTGACACCATTCCCTCCTTTTTTCCTTGATTCTCATCTCTCACAACCTTGTGAATCAATTTTTGTTACTTAACCCTGTGAACCCTTCATCTCTCTTTTTTTCCCCATTTCTTGTCCCTCTTCTGCTTCTGTCCACCCTTCTGTTGAGTTGGCTGTTTTATGTCCCATTGCTGACTCTTTCCCTTTGTACCCAGTCTGCTCAAGCTCCTACAAGGACATGTCTCTTTCTGTTTAAAGACCTTTGGATCCCATTTTGCAGCTGACTATTGTATCATTCAGGTTCTTTCACACTTTAATTCTTTTCACTTCTTGTCTCTTCTGCCTTTGTCTTCTTTTCTTGGGGGGGGGGGGATATATATTTATTTTCCCTGCTCAACCATGCCAGCTTTTCAGGTTTTACAGTAACCCATTGCATTTCTCCACTAAAATATGGTTCCATTGGTTAGGCCTTATTTGGTCTTTGTACCTCTCGTGTGTCTCCCTAATGCAAATCTCCTCCCCTCCATTCTTTGAGTTGAGCATGGGAGACCTTTGCCACTCCTAGTTCCTAGCCGTCAAGATATTTGACTGGTTGTGTAATCCTTCCTGATAAGAGACCGAGTGGGAAGTAAGGCAAGGGTTTCCATGTCAGCATAGTGCAGGTCACCACCTTTCATATAATATGCCAGCTAGTTGGGGCAACATACACTTCTTGCACAACAGGAAGGGACTTAGTTCCTTTGTGTAAGGAGAAAAAATTGTATAACAGAACATATACCAAACTGTACACCATGCCTCGTGTCCAACTGACCTGTTGTGTGAAAATACTCAGTTGGTCATGTCTTTTTTCTGCCCATCTCTTTGACAAATTGGCTTATTTTGCCTTCCTTTCAGACTTTCAGCCATGCAAAGAGTATACCCTGCATGAGATGGATATAGTCTCCCATGAGTGTTACCCATCTAGTAAGCCCCCACTTTGGGGAGTCACATGCCATGGGCTTTTCCCTTCAGTTTCCTTCTCCAAATGGAAATTGCCTAGATTGTGGGATTCTTGATATTGCGTGCAGAGAATAAGTATCTTTTCGGAAGTTAACATTTTCCTTGCTTGAAAATGTATTTCCGATAGATAACTTTTTGCCCACAGGTGCACATTATTATTGACTCATTTAAGAATGAAGTTTACTTTCAATTGCTGATGCTTATCGGGATCTACTATGTGTGGAGGATGTGTTGCCTTACTATTTGTGGAGGGGCTTTTGTCAATGAAGATTAGATCATGCACTACTGCATTTCGTGTTATGACATGCAAAATCTTAAAGGCTGATTCACAAAGAATAGCTAGTGTGCAGAGAGGTAAGTATATATTGGAAATACATTTTTGAGTAAGGAAAATGTTAACATTAATAATAGATGTGTCACAGTAAAACATTAAATTTAAGTTAAAGCAATAATAAATAAATAAAAATTTAGTCAAGGAGGAAGAAAATGGGTATTTAAAAGCTTGTCATCATGGCCTTATTCAGCAAAAAAATTATATTTGTGTGTGTGAACAGAGAATTTTCTTTTTAATGTTAATGCTACTTGATGACTACCTGATACTGTGGGTTAAAATACTGTAATCATTAACCCTTTCACAGCAGGTACAAACCTATCTATATAGCTAAAAGGAGAAATGCCATATAATTTTGCTTTCTTTTCTAACATTTTGCCATATTAATTAGCTACCTCTGACAAAAGTCATGATATCATTGGTAAATTAGTTCCTCCTCTTAATTAGGATTTGTTGATACGGGTGCACTTGGGAAATAATATGCGAGTCATTCACCTGCAGTATGACTATATCATTAGTAAAAAACATGACTGCAAACATTATTTTTAATAGTGATGATAGTGAGGTTGACTATTTCCCAGCTGATAGTGACAGTATTGGGATTTATCAGGTGAGAGTGACACCAGTTCTTGTGATTTGGAAGGATCAGTTCCAGTTGCAAGGGAAACATTGACTGGGTGGAAACTAATTTCCAATCCATTTACTGATGCTAGGCCTTAAGACATTGCTCCATTGAACTAGCCGTATGAAGGAATAAACCCCAATATAAATATGGGTAGTGAGAAATATATTAATTATTTCAAAATCATTCTTAGTGAAGAAGTTATGCATTATTTGTGTGGATCTATAAATGATTGTGCTAAAGAATATTTCAATACGAATCCTGATTGCAGTAGCAAAATTTATGGAATCAAGTGGTGTGATGTTACTACTGATAAGCTGTATGTGAGGATGGCACTGTTTTTATACAGTGGATTATGTAAGTTCAACGAACTTCTTCAGTATTGGCAGCATTCTTCTCTTTTTCCGGGAATTTATTTTTACTGCTGTGACGTTATGAGTCGGGACAGATTCTTTACTATCATGAAATTCTTGAGCTTCTCAAGTGTTGCAGATGTTGAAAGATGGAATGCCCAGACTCAAATATAACCTTTCTGTGACTTCTTGCAGGAAAAATGTAAGTATGTAGTTGATGCAGAGGAAAAAATAGCAATTGATGAAGCTTTGGTACTTTGGAAGGGTAAGTTAGCTTTCTGGCAATATATAAAAAACAAGAGATCACGTTTTGGATTGAAACTTTTCATTATGTGTCCCTCAGGAGACAATTTAAGTGGATATACCTGGAATTTCAGTATATATTATGGAAAGGATATGTACCAGTTGCCATCTGCCATGCCCCAAAAACTTTCGGTTTCAGAGAGAATTGTAGTGCATCTTGCCCAAAGTGTACTAGACAAAGGACAACATGTATTTGTTGACAACTTGTATTCCAATTTGAGGTTAGCCGAGTATTTAGATTTGAGAAAGATGTATATGACAGGGACGATGAGAAATCTGTGCCGAAAAAATTCTACCGAAATTCACGAGTGTATATGCAAAGCGTGATAATGCTCTAATTGTGTGATGGGTTGACAGTATTTTCTGGTAATTACAATGAGGTATGAGGTCTCAATGGTTGAAAAGAATAAAATCTATTATAGAGGAACATCCCAGTTCTTCTATACACCCTATCATATGGAGAAATATGATAATTACATGGGCTCTGTTGACAAAGCCGACCAATATCTGGAACCTTATGACCCATATTAAAAAAATTCCTGGCATGGTTAAAAAAAGCTAAGCCTACATCTAGTTTCTCAGATGACACTGAATGCCTTTCTTGTCTGTAAAAGGCAAACTAGAAAACAAAAATTGAAGTATAATTGAAAAAGTGAGAATGCAGTAGCTACAGTAAAACAAAAGAGGAATGAAGCAAAAATGTGAAATAGAGGAATTGATCCATGCTCTGTTGTCTATTCCATCTTCTGAAAAAGTAAAAAGACCCCAAAAGAAATGTCGAACACTTCAACTTCTGGTATTCCAAAAAATAATAAGCATAGCAG